GTTATTTGGGGAATAAGCAGTTTTCCTAGCTGCTCAAAGGCGGCGAATATTTTACCTCGGTATTTAAAAAAAAAAAAAAAAGCCTTAAGGATAACAAAAATCCTAGCAGAAAGCAAAAACCCAAACCCCGCTGTTGTCCGTGTTATTCAGACATGACTGGACCAGACGGTAAGAGGGCGAGGACAGCGTACACTCGCTACCAGACCCTGGAGTTGGAAAAGGAATTCCACTTCAATAGATATCTCACCCGCAGGAGGAGAATAGAGATCGCTCACGCTCTCTGCCTCTCCGAGCGCCAGATCAAAATCTGGTTCCAGAACAGGAGGATGAAATGGAAGAAGGATAATAAACTGAAAAGCATGAGCTTAGCCTCGGCGGGCAGCGCCTTTCAGCCATAAATTCTAGAGGAGGAATATCGAGGAAAGAAGAGGAGACGAGAAAGAAATACGTAAATAAATAAATAAAGCGCCGCAGATCTTAGTTTCGGAGTACTGTACAGTGAGGCACCTTCTTTTCGGCATGTTGTTGATATTCTAAGACCACGCGTATGGTACCGTTATCCCAGGACTGAGTTCATGTCGTGTTCTGTTTGGGTTTTTTAAAATTTTTTTTTAATTAAATTTTATTTCCAGATGCTCCTCATGCTCTTGTTGTTCTTATAAATGTATGTGTCCGTGCTCTCTTGATGCTTTCTGGAAAGCTAGCATGTTTTATGTGAGCCCTTTAAATGTTATAACTTATTTATAAATTGAGAACAGATACGATTGTTTGTTTATTTGTTGGTTTTTTTTTTTCCCCTTTCCTGAGCTTACTGCTTTTGGGTGAGTTCTTTTATTTATAAATTGAGAACAGATACGATTTTTTGTTTATTTGTTGGTTTTTTTTTTTTCCCCTTTCCTGAGTTTACTGCTTTTGGGTGAGTTCTTCTCTGCCTAAGCTAAAATCGGGGGTTCCTGCACTACAGTCGCAGAAAAAAAAAAAATCTAAAAAAACCAAACAAAAATGTAAAAAACAAAAAAAAAGAAAAAAAAAAAAAAGAAAAAGCTCTTGTATCTTTCTGTCTTAAAATTGTCCAGTCTGTGTTTTAGTTCAAACTTCAGGCCAGGATTTCTAATCCCAGGCTAATTCCGAGACGTACTCTTAGACGTGGGTAAACTTCACTATTAAAAATAATGTATAAAATCGGACCAACAATAGAGTGCTCTAATGTTTGTAAATACTAGAAATATTTCTGATGTGACTAATAGACGGTTTGTAGTGGGCAGAGTGAATGCAATGTTATGTGTAAAAATGGCATCTGTCATGTCTAGCTGCCTGTTAGTACTTTGCCAATAAGCTTTTTGTATTTGTTTGTAGCTTTACTTGAAGTCAAATAAACGTTTCTCCTATTCACAAAGGCTCCCAGTTGCACTTTATACACAACCTCCGAGACTTGCAGCTCATGCGAAAGCCGGGGAGATGCCTGGCATGGAGCTGAGCCTGTGCTAGGAGCTCTCAGCAGAGCTGCAGCCTCTCCTGGGCAGCTCCTTGGGAGCTCAGAAACACCAAATATTCACATCAAATACCCTTCTGGCACCGCACGGGAATAAAACGCAACCCTCCGCACTGCCCCGAACGCCGTCTCCCCAAAAAACAACACAGACCCCCCCCTCCCCCCACCCCACCGTATCAGACAAACTGGTTTCAAGTACCTGAAGTTGCAATAACACGGTATAAACGCTTCCCCGGCAGATTTACGTGCATGTCAGGAATTGTCAGATACAGATATACACACGCACAAGTTAAAAGCGAGAGGTATTTATATCCACATATATGTCCACGTAAAACTGTGTTCTATAGAATTACAGATCTGTGTGTTTGTATAGATATATTTATTATATATATAACATGTATATATATAATACATTTCTGTGCTAAGCTGTACTCTCTCCGCTACCTCTCGTCCTCGGTTTCTTGTGCTTACTGCTTTTACCTCCTCGTCTCTGGCTCAACATGTAAATAACAGCTCACAGCTCTGTAACTACTGACACTACAACGAGTCATTTTGGCTGCAGATAATTTAACATCATCAAAGATGGCAAATGTTGCCATTTCGCTACCTAGGGAATCTAACAAGGCACGAGATACTCCGGTTTAAAGTCGCTCGATTTGGCAAAACGCCACTGACATCTCTACAATACAGCTTAGGCTTTTCGTTCGTAGCAAGTAAAGTTGGAGCTTAAAACTTACCAAACTTAATCTCCCACTGTTTAGGTACTTCTTAAGTGATTTTGAGAGGGATGTGAAGTGGACTGTCAGATCCCAAACCATTTGCTCGCCTTCCCTTGATTTTTTTTCCTTTTTTTTTTTTTTTTTTTTTTACCAATAGCAAACTATACCAAAAGTGGGTATGACATTTAGATGTCAAATGGATAGGGTTTTATCTAGAAGTTAGATCGTAAAAATCGCCCAGACCTCAGACAGATACCCCTCACTGGCTCTCAAAAGTCACGTGAGGTCCATAAAGTTAGTTTTATGGTTTTGGGGAGTTGACAATGTACAATATATTTCACATTCTCTAGAATGTTAAGTGACACTTTAACTGCTTGGTTTGGCTTGTAAGGGGCAGCAATGGGTGAGCACTTTTCCAGATGAGATAAACGTTGCAATTGCAGGGAACATGTTTTGCGGGTCCAGTTTTCAGTCCAGAGAGCCAATAGACTGGAGTCCTGAAAGTAAGTTCTTCTGAAATATTATCTGCTTAAACTATTTTAAAGGGTTGATATGGCTAAAGGCTGAGCGGGGAGGAAAGAGGGTCTGTCTCTCTTTCAGAGCTTTATTTCTCACTTTTAGAAGGTCCTAATTCTTATCCTCCCGAGAGCTGGAATTGCATTACATTTCCATCACAGCTTCGAGGCCCGCAAGTAAACTTTGTGGAAGCGGGAGAAATAGAAAATCTGTAAAGATTCATTACCATCGCGAGGCAAATTCCATCCTGTCTTTGCCGGGGGACATGTGTACTTCAGACGAAGTTTGGTTTTGTCCTTCGCCATGTAAAAAGGCTTTTGCTCGTTTATTGGAGGTGATTCGGTCTGGTTTATGCTGCTCGCAAATAGCCACAAATCCGGCCCATGCCTTTGCATTTCAATTAGCTATATTCTGTCTGTGCTCTTCAGGTTGTTAACACCTTTTGATTTTAATTATTTTCACCTGCTTGCCAAAGAAATGTGTGCACTTTTTTTTTCTTCCCCCCTTTCGGCCTGTGTAGAGACCGTTGTGGTTTTTTTTGCCCCAGGGCTTTTTTTTTTTTTTTTTTCGTCTTGGGTTTCGGTTTTTTTCCCTATAATACGAACGAGTGTCCTCATATTTCCGTAGTTCCTTTCTACCATATGGAGACACTGAATGGCCGTTGTTATGTCTCCAGCCTGTCTTGAAGTGCTACAGAAAAATAATCAGAGAGGCTGCAGTTTGCATACGGACCCTCCAAACCTTATTGAACCCACCGATATCTCACAGATTTCCTTCTCCCCCTCTAAGGGGGACATCGTTCTGGCAAAGGCAGGCAGCAGCCTTTTTCTTTGGGAAGATAAACAAGTTAGCGGGGAAGGGCAGGGGAGCAGAGCCTGCCACGGCTCGGGGCGAGGGGCTGCGGCGGGGGCTGCGTCCCCCCG